ATTTAACCAATAAAACCCAAAAAGTTCCTCACGCTGATCGGCATTGTCTGGCCCTTTCGGCGCATTTTCCTGCCATCTGTTCGGCGAGGCTACGTGCTGAAGGTGCATTTGTGTCCATAGCTTGTTCCTGGGGGCTTTTTTGTTTTGGTGGTGTGTTTTTTTCTTTTTAGTATTTCCAACCATTGCGGTGCGTTACAGCATCGGCGTTACTGTAGGACAGTGGGAACTTAGAATCCTTCTGTGTGCCTCCACTAACGCTTCAGACCATTAAATATAAGCGGCTGCCTTTCACATTGTCTCACTACATGCCCTTCCATTATTCCAGCCATTTTGACGTGACAGATGCTCAGTTATTTTTCTCTGAACTTTCTATTTTGATGGACTCAGCATTTTTCTGGTCTTACAGTAATTGCATCGGAACAAACGGCAAATTTGTTTCAGCCTTTAAAGGCATACAAGAAATCATGACCATAAACAGAGGTTGGCTTTCTCGCTGGAACCAGCAAATATCGGGGTCTTGGTCTCTGAGCAAGATCAAGTTAGTCTGTCAAAAAATGAAATGTTTATCTCTAGACTGTGCTAATCGGGCAGCTTGCAACTTTCTGTGTCCTTGAATTTGTCTGGCAGTTTCCAGGCGGTGCTTGTACACCCTTTTTTTTTTTTTTCCTTCCCATTCTTTTTTTGGTGATTAATTTCTGGACACTGTTGCTAGGCGAGGGATAAAAGGAATCTGAATTACTAAATTTAATCTTACACAGCATACTTGGTGCAGAGCACTTAAATGCTGTTAAAGAGCCATCTCTGTTTCATTTTAACTAGGAATCACAGTGAAAAGGATGATCTCCGTTACAGACCTTGCAGGCAGGCCATGAAATGGCAGCAGTTTTAATTGTGTCAGTGTTCAGAGGCAGGATTATAAATGAAAGCAAATTAACCTCTGCCTGTCCCTCTGTAGGTGAGATTTGCCCTTGCATCCAACAGTTAACACACATGGACCAGAGACCCTTATTTCTGGGACACAGTGTTCTCAAGTGCCATAATGGATGTGTAAATGCCTCTTCTTCTGGAAGAGAAGCCCGTGTAATGTAAAACGTGTGCAGGTGAAATAGCATATTCTTTCTCTTCTCTCCTAGATGATGATAATTCAGAAGAAGGCCTTCACACCATCCATTCGGGAAGGCACGAATATGCATTCAGCTTTGAGCTTCCACAGACGTAAGTTGCCCACACGCACTCCTTGGGCCTTGCTGCCCACCCGCCTGAGCAAAACTCCTGCTGTGGGTGGAGGGGAAACCTTTTCAATGGTAGTAGGAATTGTGCTCTGACATGCAGCAGAGGACATAATCTCATTAAACTGAAGAGGTTGCTTTTAAACTGATACATACTTCCTTTTTATTCTTTTAGTTTCCATGAAACAGGAGCTCGTTGCTGCCCAGTTGCTCACTTTCCTTTGACCAAGTCCTACTGACTTACTAGGTCTACCAATATTTTACCCTTTTCCAAGAGGAGGGAGAGGAATTTGAATCATTACTGGAGTACTGCAGAGTGGCTGAGAGACCTTCTAATGCAACCAGCAGTTTACTGGAGCCGTGCAGGCCAGCAGAACTAGAGATAAAATCACAGCTGAAATGTTTGGGCTCAGTCTGGAACAGATGTGGCAAGTTGGGTTTTTTCTGTGTGAAAAAAAGAGGAAGTTGCTCCCCTTTAAAGGGGATGTATGTACCCAGGCTGGCCTTCATGCAGAAGGCCTGCGTGGAAATAAGCAGAAGGATGGGTGGATGAAGCAAGAATTCCAGTACCTAGTTCCATTTGTCTCAGACAGCAAAGGTGAAGCAAGAGTGAGGGCAGAAGTGTTAAGATAAAGATTGTTCCCCCACCCCCAAAATCTGAAATAGATATCTAATGTCGACATTGTGAATGGAAGACTTACACATAGAGGAGATACCAATATGGAAATGAGCTAAAAATACAAGTAGCAATAAAATCACACACAGAGGAACAGAGGGAGTCTCAACATGGCTGGAAGAAGGAGCCTTATGCTGCAGAAGGCAAGCAGCGAACTCGCTAAGGTTGAAAAAATGGGCAGTGTGTTATGTGAAATAGCTCAGTACCTAATACTAAAACTAATAAACAGACTGTTTATTGGAGGTGCTGGTTTTAGCAGGGCCTGCAGATGATAAACACTTCACATGTCAGTTTCAAAGTGAACAGCACAGGACCTCGCAGTAGATCTTACAGAACAGTGGAGAAGACCTGCATACATGGAGATTTTTGAAGGCAATTTAGCATTTTGCGAACCTGAACTACAAAAAGAAGCAAAGCTAATGCTGATCTTCCCTTGAGTTGGAAGGGGCATTTAAATATGAAAAAATAAAACATTATCCAGGAACGTGAAGCGCTTAGCTTGAAGCGCAATCAGTAGCCAGCAAAATATCACAAGCACTGGTCAAGCAGAGATTCTTTTTAAGTGACCTGGAAGAATAACTGAAACAAGCTGTTGATAACACTGGGGGGAGGGAGGGGGTAGGAACCAAAGGCTGGTATTAAAAGCCTGAAGTTTGACACTGCCTGTTTATTTTGTGTCTGTAGAATACTTCCAAAATTTAGACTACAGAGCAGCAGTGGAAAGGAAGAAGACACACACTGGCCTTACTGGTTTTTTGCCCTAAAAAATATGGGGCACAGTGAAGTGTTGAAGACCGATTAGAAAATCCTTTCATTTGGATTATTTGAGGGCAGGGAGTAAACATTTCAGATGTGCAAATAGAGAAGTCAAACCGGTAACTGAAAGAATCATCGTAGTAATGGGTAGTATTATTCCCTATGGAAGATATGGAGGCTTTGCAAATAATTTATGTTTACTTTATATATTACAGTGTCTTCAAAAAATAGTAGAAAAACTTAACTTGCATAAAAATACGGAAAAAAGTAAGCTGTGGAAAAGTACTGTTAATTGGAGATAACTGGAGTATAAAGATCTTCTGTCTTTCCATTTTATGATACTACAGGAAAAAAGGGTGATGCTGAAAGGTTTGGAGATCCTTTTGACATCGTTTTTCCTTCAAGTCCCAAAGAGGACTTTTTCATCTGTGAAAGTTCAGAGCAGAATAGTCCTGATGATTTTATGTGTGTGTATATATATGCTTATATATGTACATTCATATACAGTATAAGTGGTTTAAGCTGGTCTTGCCACGCCAGAGGAAAATTAGAAGGTACTCAAAATAGCTTCTCTGTTTAGAACTCTAAATTGAAATATTTACTCTGCTTAAGGCAAAACAAACTACGAAAGTGCTGAGTTACAGTTAAAATAAGCAGACATTGAGATACCAGTCAAGTAAACACTAGACAATGATTTACAAAATGCAGTATCCAAAATGATAATTGGTTGATAACTAATGCTAATTTTAAGTTGGTAGTCTTAATTTGCCCTTAAAAGGGCATGCTTTACTTAGATGTGAAAGTGGCCTCTTAAGTTTAAAGGAACTGTGTACTCTCCTGGCATTTTCTAGTACAATTCTTTAATTGATTCTTAAAATCTATGCAAAATTATAGTAGGTTAAATTGGAGATGATTTTTTCTCCCATCTTTATTCTTGAATTTTTCTGAGATACAGAAACTTTGCAAATAAGTTATGCTGCATTAAATACGACAGTGCATTTACGAGTGCAATACTACATACTAATCCCTGATCAATTGTATCATTATTAGACAGAAAGACTTTACTCAATTTTGACCTTTGTGTCCTGCACAGACCACTTGCTACCTCATTCGAAGGCAGACATGGCAGTGTGCGCTATTGGGTGAAAGCTGAATTGCATAGGCCTTGGCTTCTACCAGTAAAATTAAAGAAGGAATTTACAGTCTTTGAACATATAGATATCAACACTCCTTCATTACTGGTAAGAATTGACAGAGTTACTCATTCTTTGTTTCTGGCATAAAAATAATGAAGTATAATAACTGAAACAATATCCACATCTAATTTTACCTAATATTTATTCTCTAGTTTAGTTACAGCTGATCTTCTAAGTAGTATATCAGTTCAGCAACTCTGTAACTGCTGGTATTTTGAAAGCTATGTTTTCCTGTACTTGGAGTTGCTTCACTTTTAAGATATGTAAAATGCTATGTTAATTTAAATTGATAATACAAAATTGTAAAATGTCACTGAGAATATTGAGAGCTGTTCCTCTTTGATTTTTGAACAATCTGTGGATGGAACAGTGAAACTTAAAAGAATATTATAGTGAGAGACTGCTAACTTAAAAATGCAAAGTAAAAAAAGTACTGGCGTGCATAATTGATAACTTCCAGACAGCTAGTTTTTCTACCAATGGGGAGAAATTATCACAATTCTCTATATTCTGAACTGTCATTTCATAAAAATAATTTCAGTTACCACAACTGCTTTCGATGAGGATTTGATTTCAATCTGACCTAAAATTTCTTTCCTTCTTTTTTCCCCTCCTCTTCCTCAAATTCTAACCTGTGGAGGGGGGAAAAGAAACCACAAAGTCCATTGAAACAGGTTTCTTGTGTGTATGGGTGAAAAATCAGACTTGCAAAGGGAGATTGGTCTTGCACAAATTCCACTAAAATCAAAGGACTCCTATTTGACTTTAATGGGATTTGGATCAAGTCCTAAATCCTGATAACCATGTAAAAATAACAAAGTCTGTTTAATATAGATGAAACAGGATCATTCCGAAACAGGAAATAGCAGGAGTCAAGGTTACAGTGCTTTAGCTTAGTTATTGTTTCTGAAATAGTGTACTGGAAAGATGTTCTAGTTTACCGATAAATGAAAAGCTTTGCCAACAAGATGTTGGGATATGTAGGCTATAAAGCCTTTTCTTAAGTTACACAGTATTTATGGATAAAAACTATTCCAAGTGTGACTGTGTGTGAAGTGTAGCAGAAAAAGCAATGTTAATGAGTAATGGAATTAGAATATATCTGCCTAGTGCTGTTGAAACGGCTTGAGTTTTTTCCCTATAAATAAAACTGGCTATTTTTATCAAAATATATAATAAGTACATTATGAAAATTGTTTTTTGTGTCTATTTAGAATAGGTGAAGATATTCAGAGAATTCTGAATTAAATGGGCAATATTGTTCTTCTCTTGCAGTCACCCCAAGCAGGCACAAAAGAAAAGACTCTCTGTTGTTGGTTTTGTACCTCAGGCCCAATATCCTTAAGTGCCAAAATTGAAAGGAAGGGCTACACCCCAGGTACGTAACAGAAGTAATTATAGGAAATGTTTTTCCTTCCCTTTTAAAAATGACAGTTTGTACTTACTGCTTTTATAGAAACGAAGTACTTAAACTGTTCTTGCCACCTCAGTCTGCATTCAGCAATCTCCTTGATAATTTTCTTAACTACGACTAATTTTGTTAACTAATGCTAACTGTGTCTCCAGATTGTCAAAGGACATCTGCTTCTATTAGACCTGTGCATTTTTTTTTTCATATTAGCTTGTGGTGATCCTATTCTTACTAGCATCAGTCAATGTTTTTCAAGGTGGAGCATTGCTAGCAGCATTATAACAATACACAGAATGTGGCAGTTTGCTTAAGCTGCCTTGTAAATATAAAGAGAAGTTGAAAGTCTCTTTTGTTTCAGGTGAATCAATTCAGATCTTTGCTGAGATTGAGAACTGCTCTTCCCGTGTGGTGGTGCCAAAGGCAGCCATTTACCAAACACAGGCATTTTATGCCAAAGGGAAAATGAAGGAAGTCAAAC